GAGGGGGGGCTAATGAGTCCGCAAAGATTCGCACACAGAAGCAGTGATCGCAACGATCGAACGATCGCTAGCAAGCAAGGCTGTACGTAGTTTGCCCCTGCGAACTCCAAAGGGGCGCCCCCACAGATCATGTGCAAACTGGGCGAGACCACTGGCAGCATTAGCTTGAGATTAACCTTGCCTAAATTACATTTAGCAACATCTAACTGACTGGCTTGTTAACTGACTGACTGACTGACTGGCTGACCTACTGACTGACTTACTGATTGACTGACTGGCTGGCTCACTGACTGACAGACTTACTGATTGACCGGCTGACTGACTAACTGGCTGACTGACTGGCTGATTGACAGACTGGCTGACTGGTTGACTGACTGAGCCCCTGCTGGCTAATGACTGACTGAGTGACTGGCTGACAGACAGACTGGCTAACTGTCTGGCTGGCTAACTGACTGGCTGACTGACTGACTGAGTAGATGACTGACTGACTTACTGACTAGCTGACCAATTGGCTTACTGGCTAATTGACTAACTAACTGACTGACTGACTGAATGGTTGAATGACTGACTGCCCTACTGGCTAATGACTGACAGACTGACTGACTGGCTGACAGACTGAGTGACCAACGATTTAGTTCTGGAAATGTGTGCTAACACAGGCTAGGAAGTCATTTAAATGTGGCAGGGCTTTTGCTGAAATTTCAAGTTACATTGTACTAGGTATATAAAATTAGTTGGAGGGAATTAGCCTATGAAAACAGCCATTTTCTCCTTGCTCCACCCACGTGACAAGGCTACGTATTCTTGGTTTGCAACCACATGGCAAGGCAGCCATGTTGGGAGTCAAAACAGTAGAATTTTTTTCTCGAAGAATTATTACAAGACTGTAGTGATGTCAGCTGCAAACCAATGATTGAATACCGTAAATTCTCCCTTGTACCAGTCAATTCCAAAACTGCCCATTTGCAATTCGCATATCTCCCATAATACATCTTGTTTGCCTCCCAAAACTTTTGATAATCTTTGTTTTTAATTTCTCCTGGGTATTACAGTGGCCCTAAGAGAAATAAAAGACAATGCTTATGCAAAATTGTGGGGGGCAAACAAGGTGTATTATGAGGGATATGCAAACAACAAATTGCTGCCTCTGTGCAAACCCCAAGCATCCCACTTTTACTAAAAATCTAAAGTCTCAGAGAGCTGTCTTACGGACGTTTGTTCATTTGAATAAAATTGTTCATTCCAGAAAACTCACATTTACAGAGATGCTAACCTCTGGAGATCGAAAATCAGGAGACTCTCTTTTTTGCATTGCATGTCTCCCCAGAATGTCAGCCCCAAAATTATGACATGGGAATAGATTAGGACATTATACAAAGTCTTACATGAATTGCATAGCAGAAAAATTCACTTCATGATTGTAATGGTAAAATAATCTTTGCTGGCCTGGGACCACACAAGCAAGGTATGTGGGAGCTAGCAAGCAGTGAAGCTTGGAGGGGTGGAGGAAAGGAGAACTTGCAATGATCTCTGATCGCAATTATTTTCATTTGTACTTCACCCAGACAAAGGGAAAATACCAAATGCCTTTTGTCTTTTGTCTGTTATTTGTATTAATGAAATAACTAAAACAATGTAACTTCTCCATTGACCAATCAGCGTTTCTGACCGCTTCCAGACAGATTTTACATCATTGTTATGGAATTTTTTGTTGCTGAGTCGCAAAAGTTCCTCCTTGTGAAACATCGCCTTGCAGAGGCAAGAAGCAAGGAAAAATGGCTGTTTTCACAGGCTACTCAGAGCAAAACTCTAGTCAAATGTCTGGGGTATACGGACACTACTTTCTGTGCATGCTGCAATACTCAGCTATGGGGTGCCCAAATTACAAAAGATCTCAACAACAGTCACTTTCTTCTGTCCCCAAGGTGGGCATTGTGGAGAGGTTCAACTGTATTTAAAAGTACCTTGGAAGTCTAAAGGCTTTGCTCAATCTTCAATTTCTTATTTTCTCTTTTCAGGNAAAATTATGACATGGGAATAGATTAGGACATTATACAAAGTCTTACATGAATTGCATAGCAGAAAAATTCACTTCATGATTGTAATGGTAAAATAATCTTTGCTGGCCTGGGACCACACAAGCAAGGTATGTGGGAGCTAGCAAGCAGTGAAGCTTGGAGGGGTGGAGGAAAGGAGAACTTGCAATGATCTCTGATCGCAATTATTTTCATTTGTACTTCACCCAGACAAAGGGAAAATACCAAATGCCTTTTGTCTTTTGTCTGTTATTTGTATTAATGAAATAACTAAAACAATGTAACTTCTCCATTGACCAATCAGCGTTTCTGACCGCTTCCAGACAGATTTTACATCATTGTTATGGAATTTTTTGTTGCTGAGTCGCAAAAGTTCCTCCTTGTGAAACATCGCCTTGCAGAGGCAAGAAGCAAGGAAAAATGGCTGTTTTCACAGGCTACTCAGAGCAAAACTCTAGTCAAATGTCTGGGGTATACGGACACTACTTTCTGTGCATGCTGCAATACTCAGCTATGGGGTGCCCAAATTACAAAAGATCTCAACAACAGTCACTTTCTTCTGTCCCCAAGGTGGGCATTGTGGAGAGGTTCAACTGTATTTAAAAGTACCTTGGAAGTCTAAAGGCTTTGCTCAATCTTCAATTTCTTATTTTCTCTTTTCAGGCAGAAGACAATACCAAAGATTAATTGTCTTGAACAGGGTTGGGGCAGATCTTCAGATGTTCATAAGTGGCTCTAACAATGTAGAGGAGTAGCTGAAGTGAAGGACATCATGACAGCAGGAAAGAGATCACAAGCTAAAGTTGCCAGGTTGGTTTGTGAACCTTCAATGGTAATACTCTTAGTGGTTACCTAGTGAATTTTAGAAAAAAAGATTTAAATAGTTCTGGAAATGTTTGCTGACACAGGCCATGAAGTTGTTTGAATGGGGCAGGGCTTTTGCTGAAATTTCAAGTTACATTGTACTAGGTATATAACATTAGTAGGGGGAAATGAGCCTGCGAAAACAGCCATTTCTCCTTGCTCTTTGCCTCCAACAACGTTTTTTGAGGAGGAACATCTGCGACTTGGTGACAGAAAAAACCATACTGATCATCATCATCATCACCATCATGACTTTATTAAAGTGTCAAAATATAGTATAGTACTTAGCCGAGGGTAAAAAATCCTCTACTAACTGGGGACACTGAAATAAGACTAATTATTTTTAAGTTAAGAACTCACAATCCTAAAAAAGCTAGCCTAGATACACTGTAAACATACCAAAAAATTATACAGCAATTTACAACAAAACCATTTTGATTTTTACAATAAGATGATAGAGTTATTCACATTAACTAAAATGCTCAATGAAAAAAAAAAAAAAAAATAATAGTAAATAAATAAATAAAGCAATTACGTCAGTTTGTGTGTCGGTTGCTGCATAATACGCAATTATCACAATCAGACTTTAACTTAAGCTAAAGATTGACAAGACAAATCTGTCATTTAAATGATTGTAGTGATGGTAAATTTTTAAGATTGCTAGGCAGGCTATTCCACAATTTTCGTCCCAGATATCTCGATGAATGTTTCCCATATTTTTACCGATTAAAATCTGAGTATGTGAAAATCGACTCCTCTAAAGTTGTAGCCAGTGCTATTCACTGAACCCTTATGCCAAATTCATTGCCTATTATTTTGTTTATTAGTGATTAGCATGGTATGGAAAGGTTCCCCATGAGCCTGGGGGGGGGGGGGGGGGGGTATTTTAGGAATATTGGGGGGGGGTTGGGGGGCCCGGGAACCCTTAACCTTACCCAGGGTCTACCCAGGGTAAGTTGGGGTGATTTTTGTTCCCCTTAACTCAAGAAAACTCCCTCATGCCCCCTTTCCTTGGG